TCCAGCTGAGTGCTGGATGATGGTGGCTGAACGCATTGCGAACAAATTGCGGAGCAACATTCAAGTCGATGATGGCTCAAGGCTTGCCGATGACAGATTCAACAAGAACAACCGAGGAAAAAAATCGTCTTTTTTTTGTTCATTTCAAATGGTTGTCCCGATCTTGATGCGCACTGATTAACATACACCACACGGGCTGAAAGAATGGAAATTTTAACATCTTGATATGCGATCCAACAATGTTGCCGTCATCGTTGCCGTTGTCGTCGTCGTCGTCGTCATCGTCATCGTCCTCGTCGGTTTGCTGCATGAATTCCAAGTGAGAGAGAGTTCTTTTGGTTTGAGTGATCTTTTGTTCGCCAGCGATTTTATTTTGATAGAAGAAATGAAGAAAAAAAATCGTACAACAATGTATCAATCGACTGTCATTTCTTCATATTAATTCACCGTTTTATGCTCCACGTCTCAAATTATTTAAATTTCATGAATAATCCAATAAAAAATTTCAACCATACCGAGGCAACGAAATCGAGCGTAAATATGGTTTTAGTGTCGTTCTCTCTCTCTGTATGTATATGTGGATCAGGAAATATTTTTCGCTTGAACATCATTATTTATTATTCATATGACGAGTTTTACGTTTTACATCACCGTCGACGCAACTGAATGAAACGATAATTTATTTATCATTGCATCCGCAGCAGTAGCACCTTTTGTTTTGCCAGCGCATACCGTGTGCGATTTCAATTCAGTTCACTTGGCGGGACCATATGAGGCTCTCTCTCCGGCTTCTTCCTATCAGAAGATATCATTTAACGCATATTTCTAGATTTAATTTGAATGTTTGATATGATCTGCTTCTTTTTTTTATATTCCAGTTTGAGACAGTTCACTTGGCATCCGCTCGCATAAAAAGACAGAGAACGTCACGTGTTGTGCATATCGTATGTGTGACGTTAGAGTGAAGCGATTTTCAAGCAATGTCACGTGGTCCAAGCCATCACATCTGCTGCTCCAAATCCAAATCATCAATGTCATGCCAACCCCATCCACTATCTAAATGAAAGCAGGCGACACAGAAGTGAAGAGTTTATAGCACCGAAAATGCGTTTTTGTTGAACAAACTTTGCAAAATTGCCAATAATTAGCGGTATTATATTCGTTTTTATTCAAAACTTCATACAATTATATTCTTGGCAACTTTCATAATCCGGAACGCATAATAAAAGCGTACAATAGCACGATTTTACAAACAGCATTTACACCTTTTTCGCCGTTTATCGCATACAACATGCCAGAATCAAGTCACAATATTTTGCTCCACCCTACTATTACTAGTATGCAATATGGCTGGGGTTGTTCGTGGCTTTTTTTTTCTTCTTAAATCCATTAGTATTACGCTGATAAAACGAAAATTATTTTCCACAAATTAGGCGTATTGTATAGCGGATGAATGCAAAAGCGAGGAAGTTGCCTTAAGTCATTTACAAACTTGCACATGTCTTTTATTTGCTGTCTGAAGATAATCAAAATAGAAATTGCCGACTATAAAAACGTATTGCCAGAAAAATTCAATAAATAAATCATTAAACGGAGGCAGGAAGAGAGAAGAAACATTTCATTTTACTTTATTTCTTCTCTTTCGCACTCTCGCTCTCGCATTCACTCTCTTTTCGAGAAAGCTCTTTTGTTTGGAAGAGCATTTTCTTGTAATATTCCGATTGCACAAGCCAAAACTTACCGTGTTCGACATCGAAAAAACATTTTCCAAAAAAAAAGAGAAAAGAAATTGGTAATTGTAACAGCGAAGAGGAAGCGAATCTGTTGTCGATACATTTTTCATTACGCTTTTGATGGACTTTTCATTTGGAAAGAGATTGGAAAATCAGTTGTGAAAATTGCAAACAATCGAATTCAGGAATTTGATTTGAAATGTTTGTGTGTGTGTGTGTGTGTTCGATCCCTGGTTATTCAATAAAATTTGATGATTGTGCTTGAGTGTGCAAATGCCGGAGAAATTCCTTGGGAAAATGTGCACAATCATGAAAACAAATTCATTTCTAGCCTGTTGAAGAATATTAAGAAATAGATGAAGCAAAAGAAGAAGATGAAGGAAAAAAAAGAAGAGGATTGGTTCGGCGCAAAATTCAATCGAGCATACTAATCTAGAAAAAAATAATTTCAATATTAGACGGCCAGAAAGACCGTGTCGGTCATGCGAACCGAAGAGGTTAAATAGTTCTCGTATCGATGGAAATAAGTAGGAATTATGTGTTTAAACAAATTCGCATGCAATAAAATGGTCAAAGCAATAACAATTTATGTGTTCAAGCCACTTGAATCGGTTATTGTATCATTGTTTTTCGGATTTCGAGCCGAAAATGTGCAAATAATTTATTGCATTATAATTTCGGGTGGACGGATTGGTGTTGGCTTGGGCCAATCGACCATGATCAATTTAATATAAATCCGGCTCGCTCCGGTTTATATGTGCACTTTCACACAAAATGGTTGTCGACAACGACACAAGTAGCTTTTGCCGTTCATTCATTCATTCGGATAAATTATCTTAATCTCAGCTGCCGATTCGGTTAATGAAAATCTGATTACATTGTATTATGAGCATATGAAACATATTTTATATCGACCAAACAGAAAAACCCACTATGTATACCTTTTTCCCACTCGTGTTTGTTCACTTTCTCTCTCTCGAGTGTATTAAGAAGGAAGTGAGCAAATAACCTATATTATTGCATTTGAAATGATTTGTGTTGCTGGTGAAAATATCGAGAGTAGCAACAATCAAGCATATTTTATTCGTATCCATGCTTCCGAATGTCCCTTAAGAGACGTATAAAATATCCAAAAGACCCATAGCATCAGCATCGTTTTCTCTCTCTTTCTCTCATTTCACAAACGTTGTTGCATTCGGTTTCGAGGAAGTTCGAGCGTGACCCTCGAATATTATATCATTTGTGAGTTATTTGATTTGATCGCTCAATAAGACGCGATAGATTGTAGTTTCACAATTCATTTTTTATTCTTTTATTCCATTAATGTTCAAGGAGAAATTTGAATATCTCCGTATACATATTTCGATGGAAAGATTATTTTGTTGAATCCTTTTTTTCGCTTACACATAACTGATGTTTTCCTTCCTTTCAATTTTCGTCTTTAATTTATTCCACTGTCTCCTTATCGTGAGAGTAACAAGAGAAGAGAGAATGAATTCGATCTTCCGTTGAATAAAAACGAAGAGTCAATTTTTTTTCGTAACGAAACCCCGGATGTTCAGTGCGAGGAAAAGGTCAAATGAGAATGGAAATGATCACAATGCGAAGAAAGTGATGCGAATATAAAATAAAAGATTGAAGTAAAGCAATTTGTTGCGGCTAATATGTGGCGCACAATACCGAGATAAAGGCGTTCAGTACACACAATTGCGATAGAAATTGAATGAAAAATATGAAATGTGGCAAACGTATTGAGTATGCTGATAACAGCTCGTGAAAATCGCATTGAGCTGGGTACGTTGAATAGTTGCACGACCGCGAGAAAACAAGACAATGATGAAGATGAGGAGCGAGCGAGAAGAATGGGGTAGGTGGTACAAACAAATTTCAATAGCTTCTTAAGCTTATCTGCGATATGAATGAATACGCTAATGCGCGCACAAAGTAATTTGAGAGCATAGCATCAACACACACACAGTGCTCATCCGGCAACGGCGTTAAAATGGACCAGAAACAAGACAAGCAATAAATAACAATACAATTCGCCACACACAAATGAAACGAATTGAGTAAATAAAAATGAATGTTATTCTTGGATATACTTTTTTTTTGTCCCGTGAAGTGGCTATTATTGAATGAGCGATGAGGATGAGACGGAAACCCGGTGAAAAATGAGGAACAAGGCTATTGAGTGAAGAGAAAAGAAAACACAACAAATTTGAAGAAATGAAAGGAAGAAAAAACGAAGAGAGTTTTTCCCTTTTGTTTCTTTTAAGCAAGCACGTTTCGGATGGTATCCAAGCGTGTTGATCTCCAGTGTACGCATTGCACGCCTTCAGATGAATATCGTGCCATCGAGAAAAAAAAAATACATCTACAAATGGTGGCTTTTCATTTGGTTTGTCAGTGTATTTTGGCCTTTCTTCGAATGCTGCAAAAAAAAAAAGTTGGACGCGACGTTTGAAAATTGATTTTTCGGACGCTTAACTCATTATTAAAAAGTTGCGCTGTTGCGTTTTTTTCTTTGTTTCTACTTTGTTTTGCTATGGGAGCAAATTGACAAATAGTCATAGCGACGTGGTGGTATTACTGCATGACTACTGCCCTGAAGAAATACACTGAAAATTTAATGCAGGCCCGTTCATCCCTCCATTTCAACACACTCTACGTGTCTGATGCTTCCATTCCACTTAAAGTTTACTTTGGGATTTTGCAGCTTAACCAAAATGGATATGATGAAAGCGGCTTAAGCACCTCTTCCTGTTACAACAAATTTAATGTTCCACCGCTGGATGTGTTGCACATATTATTATGAAGCAATATTGCAACATTTTTGGATTCTGAACAAAAAAAAATTTAATTTTTTTTTTGCAGCGCAGTTTTTCCCCCTTCTGTCGTTTTCTCTTTCCAATTTAATTTATTGGGATAACGGCACACAAGTGCAACCCGTTGATAAGCTGCCGACGTGTATGCTTATTGATATTTCAATATGACAGAGTTGTCGCAGCTTTTTTGCCGGTAGGGTTTAAAACAAATTTCATATCAAATCGGATTCAACACGAAATTGAACATATGCTCGGATTTTGGTGCCACCATCGATTACCATCGAGGCATTTTTTTTGCTGAGCTTCTTGTTTTTTTTTATTTTGATGCGAACAAATTTACTGATACTGATGCATCTTTTTTTGATTGTCTTTCTGTGTCTCCCCCTTCAAAAATAATTCTATTTTTTTTCTAATGGAGTCATATGAAATTGTCTATACTTACCGACTGCCAGTGACCTGATTTACTGAATGTTCGAATGTTCAGTTGAGCGCACACTTTGAACAATGGTCGAATTTGATTAATTATCGAAATGAAGTTGGGTGGATGCTTGTATTTGGATGTTGCTTTGTGTTCGGAACGGAAATGTTTGGTGTCGATTTGTACTCGTTTCTATATTATGTTTTTTTGTTTAGAAAAAAATTCCAAAAATTTATGCTATTAATAGTTTGCACACCTACAACAATAATTCAATCGTATGACCAATCGCACCAAAGATCGTCGAAAAAACAAGTAAACAAATGCTTCACTATTTAATATCGAATGGAGTTGTTAAACCGTTGAAAATTGGTGCAGACCATCGGCATTCAATGTTTATCATCGTCAGCCAAATTGGCGTGCTCGAGTTTCGAAAAAAGTAGTTCAACTCATGCAACGTTCAAACAACTTGTTTTTTTTCGTTCTTTTCTCTCGATTCGTTCGTTTTCATCACAATTTGTATTCCGATTCGTGAGCTTTTCGTTGTTGTTGTTGTTGTTGTTGTTGTTGTTGTAGTAGCAGCAGCAACAGCAGCGACAGCACATTTCAACTGAAATAAAATTAAGAATTGAAAGTTTATACTTTTTTATATCTCATTCGGTCGTTTTTTTTTGTTTCCTGTTGTCGTTCTTCAGTTTTATTGTTTTGAAACTCAATTTGTAAGCATTCGGCCCGAGCGCAGCAGCGCGCTCGTCAATTTTAAAATCGGGAATAACAATAGAACGGTATATACATTCTATTCGGTGATAGATAGACAGAATGTCACAAGGAAACGGATGATTTGAAAATATTCAAAAGACAAGATCGATGTGACCAACAATGTGTCGACTATACTCGTTCGTACGTACGTACGTACACACACAAATACAAATGCGGTCCGTTTGCGTTTGCATTTTAAAAATATCACAACCGAAATTATCGAAAATAAAAATATTTAGACGGATAATTTATGTATGCTTTCTGGCAATATCCAATTGGCAAGGTTCATTTTTTTTATTGGACGATCTTAAATGCTTTGCTGCTATTTCCCCGCAAAAACATTAGTTGGGCTCTATTTAATATTTTTATGTGTTCGTTTGTGTGTGTTTTAATATTTATGGTTTCGCGCTATAAAGTCCTGAGCTTCATAACTCATGCGAGATTAGTTGAAATGCGATGGCAACAACAATTCAAAATCGGACCGTTCACTATCACAGATAATAATTTTTTTTTATTTTCTTTTCTCAAATTTGTTCCTTTGTTGTGTTTGTGTGTGCGCGTTTTTGGTTTTAATGCGGCATTTTTTTATTGTTAAAAGTTAAAAGGAGGTTTTCCGCTATTCTTTTTCATTTTACTCTCTGGTAAAGTTACGTACGTTTGGTTCTGAGTTGAGTGTGAATTTCAATGAACGGTTGTTAGACAACCGTTGAAGTTTGAACGTGCACGCGTGTTGTTGGCGACTAACAAATGTTCTCAAACATTGTGATGTGCTCCTTGGAACAGGAAAACAAACACAGAACTGAAACCAATACCGAACAACGACAAGTAAGTGAATTGAATATATTGTAAATTGAATTTTCCGAATATTTGAGGTGGCGCTTGCGCAATCCGCACACCGTACACACAGTCAGTTAGTCAGTCGAGCCAGCCAGCTAGTCAGCCAAAGCGACGGATATCGTTGAATGTGCCAGCATTATGTTTCAAGTCAAAAGTAAAGAAGGAGCGACACACCACACACAGCGAGTGAAAGATTTCTGCCTCCGTTAAACGGCCCATGCTTTTCAAGAGCAAACACAAACAGATTATTATAATAAGCGGAAAGTTAGTTATTTAGACTGGATGAATTGCCGCAAGTGAGAGTGTTGGTTTTGGACGAAAAAAGAAGTCCGTATTTTGAATCCACAATGCAAACCACTTCTCCATACAGACGCGCACGTGTTGGTGCTCCGTTATCGTAACCGCATGTTGTTTAATGATATGACGACGGCATTTGCATGAACAGTATTTTGATTCCAAGTGAATTTTCGTCTATTATTTTTGGTATTTGGTAGAGTCGTTCGTTACATTTTTTTCTTCGTTTGGTTTTTATATCGCATCTCTCCATTTGCGATCAGTTGAGAAAAACAGCGATTGCATCGATATTCCCTAAATTCATTGTCATCGATAATTTATCATTAGTAATACAATGTCATTTCGTTCATTTGAAAGAGAGACAGAGAGAATGAGAAATTGAATTTATCCTTGATTCGATCTGATTCCTATTGTCATCTCTCGCCGAACCGACAATGAATGGAAACTTCAAGAGGCTAACTCTTAACGCAACTTAGCGACAAAAGACCATTTTTATTCAACAATAACAACAATAAGATAGGCATGCAGTGCCATCCGCATTCCATTGGAACGCTGAAAGAGAGAGGGAGAGCGATAGAGAGAGACAGAGAAAAGGCACAGCAATTTCGGGAGATAAAAGCAGTTAGCGTCCTAGATTGAATCCATATGAACGATTTATTGGTAATGCGGTACGTCATATACGTGGATAAGAGACTGCCGCATATAATGTACCCTATCGTTTTGGATTCTTTTATAATCTTCAAGGTTGGCCGCTAGTTTTTTTTTCGACGGCAGTTTTTTTAAAGTGATTAACGGAGCGACACATCCAAGGCAGAACATGTTATTGAGGTCATTAATTTAATCAAATTAGAGCTGCCAATTTTGGGAATTAATTGATTAAAAATAGATGTGAACCGCAATGGGCTAATACGACAGATCGATATCGTAACACTTACTTTTCATTTGAAGTCGAACAAAAGCCACCACAATGTCGGTTTAGATCGAAACGAATATTCTTCATCGAAGCCGATTACAACAAAAGTCACTATCTGTTCGTGACTTAACCATAGCCTGACTCAGCAATGATAAGAACGCATGATTTCCGAGGAGATTGTCTAATAATACAATCTAATAATCTAAACCATTTCAATTATGCATGTAACATGATATTACCAACATCGATTTTGATTTTTTTTTATTTCTTTTCAGTTATTTCTATTTTATTTTTTTATGCAGATTCGAATAATCAAATGTTATAATTCATACAATAAATTTTCTAAATTAGTGTGAAAAAATAATTTAAATTCAAATTCATGATTAGAATGTGAATGAATGACAGAAAAAAAAAGAAAAAAAAAACTAAACAATTTGAAACAGTTGAACATCGGATTCATCCGGATTGGGGTTAAAGGCTTTTGAATTTTAAACATAATTTTACTCTTTCTCTGTTTTTTTTTAAATAATAACAATAAAAATTACTCTTTGTTGATAATAATAATGAATCTTAATAATGACTTATCCCAATTTGTTGTGTTATGCTGCTCTGCATTTGGTCGAATGATGACTGATATATTTCTTGTGTGAGTTTGAGTGTTTGTGTGTGTTTTTGGGAGGGAGCATAGATGTGTTTTAACGAAAATTCTTTTCATTTCATTTCTCTTTTTGTTTTGATTAGGAAGTTTTACATAAAAAATTCTTCAGTTGAATGCGAGAGTGGCAGTCAAGTTCTTCCCAGACGATCAAGTATTGATATTTCTATTACGCGTAAGCCACGATACGTTGGATCAGTAATTTGTAAGCCTTTCGGATTGTAAATTCGTTCATTCTGTTGGGCAATGTACTTGGAAACCTTTCGAATACACTGAACAAGAGCGAAAAAAGGGAAGAAAAACAAAGACAGAAAGAAAAAACGACACAAACAAAGGCATTAAAATCGATACGTTCTGGTGCGATTGAGATAAGCCATAAGTTTAATTTGATTTACCTTTTCGTAGTGTGTTTCTGTGCACAAATATACTAAGTAGGCGGTGATACATGCCAAACATCCCTCACTGTAAAGAGACCGTTGTTCAAATCAATCAATTAGCCATACAGATCAAAAGATGCACTTTGTGCGGAAAAATCGCTGTCCCACACACAAACGCACACGCATTAACCCCACACTTACCAGTATGTACTGCAAGATCCTTTTTCAGCCTCCGCAAAGTATTCATTGAGTTTGTTGATTGTTGCTTCGAACTGCTGTCGTTCTATCTGCATTGACAAATACATCGAATTTTTTTTTCGGTCGAGCGAAATTTGAAAAGAAATGAAGAAAAAAACAAAAACACCGTTATCAAAGGAATGAAACCACATTTGCCGCCAATGGAATGTCTCTCTGTCGTATGCAGAGATGAATCACTTGCAAATATTTACCCTGCCTTCCAGTTCAGGTGGGAATCTATTTTGGAATTTGACCGATGTACCATCACTATAATCTCTCTGTATGAACACTTTCATATAAGTTGGTTGCAGTGCTGGTGTGCTTGGCTGAGACATGATTTATGAGTGTGTATGTATATTTATAAGAGATGAATTCGATGAAGCTTTAACCAAAACACGACAAAACACTATTATCTACTCGGTATTCACTTTTCTTCTTTTTTGAACAGATAGAAAGAAACACTCTCGCCTATCGCGGACTTAATGTAAATTTTTTAACACTATTTTTATCAACACTTTCCTTCAACGAAATAATTTCTGTTTTTGTTTTTGGTCTACTAGCTTGCTTGGTGGTTGAAGGCTGTGTCGATTTTTGTTTTCAGTAAATCGGTCTCAACGTAAGCAGAATAGGATGACAAAGCTCTGAAGAATAATTAGATGGAAAGTTTACTAATAAAATTAATATATATTTTCACATACCAATCACGATTGACAGTTCTATATTGTCAGTCTACGGTACAAACGCTACCATATTTCATACGATTCTATGAAACGTCTACACCGCAAACTGCAACGGTGTAAACGCAACCCAAATATGGTGCGGAAAAAGGGTTTTCAGTGTGATTTAAATTGACTTATTGACAGTTTGCTATAGAATTTTTTGATGGAATTGTTTGCATTTCCATTGTAATATTGTTATCGTGAGTTTTTAGCCACATTTGGCCCAATTCCACCCAAATATGATGAGTGAATGATGCAAGTTGAATTTTATGCCCGTCGCTAGATGGCGCTTATTGACACACTTACTGTTGGAATCATGTCGATTCAATGGAGGGAATTCAAAATGAATTTTCAATCTGAACAATACAAACCTTTCGGAAAGGCTCCTTGTGTCACCCACCAAATTCTCCACCTGAAATTTATTGTTTATTTACGCTTCCTTTTACATGCAAAATATATAGAATTCAAACGACAGCCCAAATGGATGATTTCGTATTTTTCATGATTTTTATTTATAGAAAACACAAAACTAACGCACGTTTATTCCATTCAATTTTATAATTTATTTGTTTGTTTGTTTGTTTTTTTCTTCTTTTAATTGTTCATTATCTTGTTGGTTTTTTTTTTCTTTCTCATCCTTAGCTGTTCATTACGGATTAATCATTCATTCTTCTGTTTTTAGCTTGATTAATTTGTTTTCAAATTGTTTTTATCATTCAATTGTGTGTTCAATTGTAATGTTGCTTTTCATTTTATTTTGCTGAAACATGAGAGTTTAGTTTTTACGTCGGCGCATCGCACATCGGATGTTGATTTTAAAAAGGAATTTGAGAAACGGGAATAAAACACTATGAAATTATAAATTACAAAGGAAAATAAATTGAAAAACTAATGGAAAACAATAAGAAGAACATTTAAAATTAAAAAAATATATATATATATATATATATACTGGGATAAGAATAAGGGTAATTGGTTTTTTGTTTGTTTTGTTGTTTAAAACTATCTAGTTTAGTTGAAGCAGAGAAAAAAAAACAACAACGAAAAAAAAGCGAAACGTAAAACAAAATGTGTTGTGTTTTGGTTTGATATTACCTTAAAATTTAGACGAAATTGTAAACTGAACTGAAATTCACAAACCACTGACTGAGCCATATTCCAATATCTCGGCTGTGTGTATGGAGCGCGCACGAGTGCTCGCACGCGGTATATGTGTAAAAAGTCTGAATGCAGCACTCGGGCGAGTATATGTGGAATGATCGAATAGAACCGTATAGATGTCTACATTCCGAAATGGGGACAATTTCACAAAAAAAACACATGGATCTTATCCGAACCGAAACAAAAAAAACTCATTCTTTAGCAAATTCGAACCGATATTTTTCCCACATTTAAAGCGACAAGAGAGAGAGAGAGAGAGAGAGAGAGAGAGAGAGAGAGAGAGAAAGCAAAAAAAATGTACTCAGTGAGAGAGAGGTAAATAGAAAAAGGAAGAGCGAGAGAATAAAGGTGGATCGTTGTGATAAAATAAATTGGTGGCGATTTCAATGAAATCCCGTGGCTGGTTGAATTTTAAGTAAAAAATTTATTTAGACTTTTGGGCAAGTAAAAAAGGAATAACGAAAAAAAAAAATTGTCTGCGTATGTGAATTTGTAATTCTCTCTTGGTTTTGTTTTTGTTGTTGTTGATGTTTTCATCTTCTTCATTTTTTTTTCTGTCTGTGTAAATGCGATTATTTTCTTTCTTCACTCTACTAACGTAATTTCCATCATTTTTTTGTTTTATTGAGGTGGTTTTTACTTCTCTCGTGTGTTTGTTTTTGTGTTTTGTTTTTTTTTCTTTGTTTCTTTCTTCTCGATTAATTTTCAATCAATATCTAAGTATCTTGTCTTTCACACCATTCTTTTCTCTCTTTTTTTTACTGAGTGTTTGTCTGTGTGTGTTTGTTTCTCATTTTTTCTTTCCATTTGTTTGTTTGTTTTAAAGTATATTTTCGATCCGATTCAAGAATATAGACAAAAAAGGACACCGAAAAAGAACAAAAAAATATAGAAGAAAAAAAAAGAAATTATGGTTTCGTTATAAACAAAATGCGAACTGTGGCTAAGTTTATTAAATTAAGTATAGCAATATTAATTATTTATTTTCCATGATTCCATGTAAATATTGTTGTTGTGTGTGTGTGTGTGTGTTGTGGCTGTGAGTGTCTCTGTGTTCTTGTAATTTCTGAACGCTTTTTCTTTCTCTTCATACGGCTTTTTATTGGTTTTATTTTCAGGTTTTGAATTTTGGTGATATTGTTTACTCTTATTGTTTTTGTTGGTTTGTTTTTTTTCTCTTCTGCTTTTTAATTTCAGTTTACAATAAATTTTAGCTCAGTTGTATATGTTTCCGTTCTCTTTCAGTTTTTTTTATTAATTTTTTTAATAGATTTTTTTGTGATTTTTCATGTTGTTTGTTGTTGTTGTTATTTAATCTTTTTTTTTTATTCTTTGCCTTTACTCTCATTTTTTTTTCATCCGGATGATGCTGTTTGTTTTTTTTTGTTTGCAATTAATCTTTATTATTCTCATTTAATTTCTAGAATCAATAAGAGAATAATGCAATTATTGTGTGTTTTTCATTTTTGACGGATTGATATTTTTCTCTCTCTTTTATTAAAAAGCATCACATCACATAGCATATTTCCGGGTCCATTCCCGAGCTAGTTCATTGTATTTTTCGCGATCGGTTTTGTATATTCTTGCAATCTCAGGAACTAATGGATCATCTGGATTTGGATCACACAGCAGAGAGCAAATTGACAGCAGAACTGCGGAAGAAAGAAATCGAAAGAGAAAAAAATTAGAACAATTTTAGAGCAATTTATATGGAAAACAATCAAATCGAAACCCAGCAATGTGATGCTGTGTTCAAATGGAGATAGGTTGCAGTGCCGATTTTCAGAACGTCGTCACAATTCTCGATATAAAAACAAAATCGACATTTTTGTCATGGCACACATGGAAATCCAATTTAGGAATTTCATTTTTTAAAAAAAACTCTGCACTTGCATTTATTTTTCGTGAGTGTTTACCTTTTGATATAGTTAACGCTGGAGACCATTGAGATCTTAATATGTCCAAACAAATCGAACCATTACTGTTAATGTTGGGGTGGTATATGCGCGTTGTGAAAGCCACTTTTGGTGGTTTGAACGGGTAGTCTGTTGGAAAATGTATTGTTAAGAAGAATACACCACCTTGGTACGGACTGTCCGGCTGTAAAATAAAATGGAAAATGCATCATTAGTGAGGTGATCTTCTGTTTGTTTTCATATTGTGTTGAGTGTGCATGTTCACATATGAGAACAGCAACAACAACAAGAGAAAAAAAAGTTCAACTTACAGGTCCCATGATTGTTGCTTGCCAGTGAAACACTGCGAAAAGAGAGAAAGAGAAAACGAGAGAAAAAAAAACATTTAGTATGTGGTGTGTATGTGTTAAAATTGTATTGGTTTGTGTAAACAATATAGATTAAGTGATGATTTGGTGTGTTATCTAGTTCCGTCTCTTTAATACTCATTCGAATCGTATTAAAATGTACACGGAACGCAGATATCGCAGATTGCTTTTGCAATTATAGTTTTAATAATTTGCTAATCGTTATCCAAATTATCAATGCGAATAATTGCTCTATTGACATATTTCATGTGGCACGTACAAGAGGCAGCTTTGGGAATCCACTTCATAATTCCATGCCATTTGCTATTGCATTAGTTGAATTTCGTTGGAGTATTGACAATATTCCTTTTCTGTCATCTCTGTGTCTTGACTTAAAATAGCCGTTCTATGTATCTTGACATCCATTGTGTCGATGTGACAACGAGCAAGTCAATAAATGACGAAAAAAAAACATGATAAAATTAAGCGAAAGAAAAAAACAACGTAATTAAATCAGCTTTATCTGAAACAACAACGATAGGGTTGCTTAGGTATGCGAGAATGGCGCATTTGAAAATTTGACATACATTCATACATGTTTCGTCAAAATTCGTTGGACGTTTCTCACCTTTTGGATTTCCATATATACATTCAGTCGTATTCGATATACGTGCACACGCGTCTGAGGTAAATTTGTTGTGTCTGTGTACAATATATTTACTGCCAATAATGGAGTGTGCACGCGAAGCGAATGACAGAAATGCCATTGTTTTCCATCAAGGAACTGTAATGAGAAACCTAATATATTGGCTACACACATTAATTGAATCATGTGCGACTATGCCGACGACGTCGACGTCGGTGGACAGCGCGCGGCAAAAGGAGCACACCAATATTGTGTGCGACAAAGACCAAGAAATGATCTTGATTGACAACATTCCGAATTGTGTGTGTGTGTTTTTCTTTTCTTTCCGTGTCCCCGCGTGTGTGCGCGCGCGCCTGCCTCCGAACACAACATTTTTCGCATCGCGACCAAATCACGCACACTTGCCCACGTACATATCACCGCGTTTTAGTGACCAGCAAGAGCAACGTGTAGTGATAAAAAAGCGATACCGATTTTAAAGATAAAAGTTGAATGTTCAAAGTGGCATATCACATTGGGTTGTATCGGAGGAGACATGGGCGATTCACGCAGATTGAATTGTATCTTTAAGGAGCCGTTCATCGTTGTCGACGTAGTTGTTGTCGTCGTCGTCGTCGTCGTCTTCCTCATGATTACATAAACGGTAGAGAAATATAGCAAACAGCTCAGAAGGAAGAGGAAAAAAAACAACAATCAAAGCGAAAAAAAGGCTTACACATACTTTGAGAGCGATTTTTTTTCCTCGAACAGAATTTTTTTTATATATATATAAATATATAAATGATGAACGACGGCCGTTAGTCAAAGCAACGACGAGTGAATTAAAAGAGAAGCAGCAGCAACAACAAAAAAGAGTTGTACGAAATATTAACGCATTACATTTTCTTTGTTTTATTGTATAACCGGCGTGTCGACAGGAGAACGATGAGCTGAACACAGGCATATGTCATTCACGTACACTCTTAAAAACACACAGCAACGACACAAGCGCACACATTTTATTATTATATGACGAGCTCATCCCAAATGATTTTCAAGCGAGAGTAAGCGAGCCAGAGAGAGAGAGAGAAATTTAATCGCGACAAACACACAATATCATCATCATCATCACCACCATCGTAGTCGTATGAATATCCCAGCTTTTTTCTTCTCGGTTGTATCGCTGTTGTAAAGTAGCAAGAAGCAAAGTGTAATTTCGTAAAAAGACCATTGTTTACGTTACGTTACGAAAAAACAAAGAGAAAGAGCGCACATAGCTGTGTGTATACTACACAGAGAGATATAAAAAAATTGAATGTGCTGCACACGAACGATGATTTTATGCGCAAACAGAAATGCGTTTATGTGTGTGTACATTCACCGCGCATTTCAGCACCGCGGTGCCACATGTATTAGTACTCTACTCTCTCGTACAAACACACACACACATGCTCCCCCAATCGACTCTACATACGATACAGATATTTATGTCTTGATGAAAAAATTTTGTCTGCTCAACAATTACAATGCGTGTAATCTTTGCACATTCAACTTCTTTTATTTTATGTTTTTTTTTGCTTCTGCTTTTAAAGTGGAGTATATGCTTTTATTTTGACTGTTTCAACGGAATATTCAATTTAACTTGCTCCAATGGGAATAGAATTGCGATCACATTGAGAACATCTTCTGACACTAGTCATCGGTGGAGTGAGACCAATTTCAAGCGAAGAAAAGCGATCAGCCAAGCAAAAAATATGACACTTTTTTTTCATCTTCTGTTCCAATCGGAATCAATTAGAAAGCCGAGTCACGACGTCAACGAACATTCAACAGTAGTGCTTTATCGTTCATTAGAACGAAGGAAGTGAATAAAACAACAACGCGACGACATATTCATTCTTTGCTGAAATTAGAGCCTCTCTCTCTCACTCACTCACTCAGTTGATCTGTCGAAAAATTTAACCGAATTGAATCACCGACGTCTATATGAATACAGTTAGTTCAAACTTGACAAACGTGCCGAACGAATCGGTTTTTCAAAACAAGCCAAAGTGCACAAAACAGTCGCGAATACATTGTATTCGTATCAAGAATTCGTTCTTGAACAACAATCAATTGTACAATCGACAAAATGAACGAGCGAGCGAGCGAACGAGAAACAAAACATACACAACTGTGCGCACACTGAAATTGAAAACGAAGGCTTGACAACCGATATCTACTGCGATTGAATAGGCATGTTTTTGACTTTTCGATTCGCCACAACAAGAGGCTGAAAAGACAAAAGGAAAAACAACAATAAAAACAACACACACACACACACACACACACAACAAACACCAAATTGTCACAAAGTGTGTATAAATTACACAAAATTCCGAAATAAAAATTTCAAATTGTTCAACATCACCGTAAACGTGATGACTCGTTTGGCATAAGATTTTCTAAAGCCCAAACAACGTGCATAAATATTTTACTTGCTTCGACAGCAAAAATCAGCATCGACATGACTTTGCACGAACATACACACTGGTTCTTGCTCTCTCTCTCTCTCTCTCTCTCTCTCTCTCTCTCTCTCTCTCTCTCTCTCTCTCTCTCTCTCTCTCTCTCTCTCTCTATCTGTCTTTCTCTCTCTCGCTCAATCGTTCGCTCTGCCTCTCTATTGCTCTCTTTGTCTTTCACTCTTGGTGTGCTGGTGAGCTGGTGTGCATGTGTTCACATTGAGAATTGGTGACGTTATATTGTATGTTGTTCAAATGCGTCACCAGCACCGAAGCAAAAACAGCAAAAATATTTTTAATGAATAATTATTTTCGAATAAGAGTACTGGTCGCTTAGTTGGTTGCTTGGCATTTAGATTGAGATATGATTCGATATGATTCATTTTCAGAACGCACAGAAGCCGAGAGAATTCGAGAAGCCGTTATCGACTGTGTCGGCAATAATGCTCAAATCACTCATACACAGACACTTTTGTGAGAAAAAAAAAATTAAACGAAACGTCACCCTTACGATCGCTTCAAACACGACTATGATAAAGAAGGAAATCGTTTTAAGAATTTCGCGTGATGCAAAGCATAGCCAAAAACGATGGATTTGATCCAATGAAAGCTGACTGAATCACTAGTTAAACGGGCGTTTTGGATGTGCCATGATATCCAATAACGTCTCAATTCACAGGTTTAGCCAAGGAGATTGAATGGTTTTTTTTGTTTCAACTTACAGTCATCGCCAACTGGGCCAGCGCTGCACTGGGCTGGGGGATCTCGACCAAGATCTTGCAGTTCCTGTGGAAGAGAAAGAGAAAGCATTAGACTCGGATATTTTGGAAGTAGATGTAGCATGGTCGCGTATTTTTCCCAATATAATTACAGTGTTCGTTGACGGATGGACAGAAACTCAACGAAATCAGCTCAACCAAAGCGAAGCCCGAAATAAAACCGAATTTATACATTTCGCAATGTTACTCTCTATTGTTTACGAATCAAGTCATACGATGACTGTTCAGTTTGGTGCGTGGTTTTTGAAACTTTCTTTCGCCGCACATCAATCTATGTCTATACACACAGACAGCACACACACTCACACACACAATGCATAATCAAAATGTTTCAGCCAAATTTGTTGGATGAATATGGCACTCATCGGCTGGCAAAAATTTCTATATATACATGTAAAATTTTAACACGAGAAATCCAATGAGAATGCATTATAAGAAGAAAGAAAAAAACATGCAATGATTTGATTTGTCAACTCAAACATTTGGATACAACATTGTACAATGGGAAAATCGATAATCAATTGTATTACATGCACTCAACACAGGAAAAAAAAATTAAAATACAAGGTTTTTCCATGCTGAAAAAAAATTATAAAAATAGTTTTTCCCTCATGTTTTTTTTTTCTTTTTCTCTCTCATGTTTCTTTCTCTTTCTCGATATTGTAATCCAACAAAAGAAAATGTTGTTGAGTTTGAGCTGAGAGAGGAGAGCCGAGGAAACTCTTTTCCGAATGGAGAAGCGACATGAATGAAAGAATGAGAGAAAGAGAGAGACAGAGAGTGACAGTGTGAATATATATTTTTTGCTTCTCTTCCTCTCTATGTGTTCGTACAACACGGTGAGCATAATGTTTCATTAATTTTAGAGCGTTAGCTTACTACACGAAGTTGCGCGAGTCGTGAACTAAATGCCTCTTCCTATAACTGAATTCCCATTTCTTCTAATGAGTCACTTTCGCGGAATTTTAATCAAAAAACTATCAGTCACATTGACTGTTGTTTCGTATTGTCGCGCTTTGATTCGCACCCAGCTCGATTTTATGTTCATTGTCTTCATTTTTCCATGGATCTGAATCCCGTTAAGTCAGTGATATTTTTCGTTTGGAATTTTTTGTTCAATAAATTTTCATCGATGATTTGCTTGCAAAAATTCATTTCAATCTCTTTTTTGTTCTTCGTTTTGTTTATTCAACAATCAATGTTCAACGTACAATATTTATGGTTTTTTTTTCTGTTTCGTTGGTCGATGACAGAGAGAAGAAAAAAAAATATTTATATGGGCATTTTGAATTCATGGACATTTCGTTTCTCGTCTTCGTTTGCACATTTCAGTTTTGCGATATGAAAATTCGACTGATTTGTGAGTACTTAGTCACGCATTCAACTCGATGAAGCGCTTTTCGCTTTAGTTTAAATTTCGGGAGAGTGAGAGAGAGAGAGAGCGAGCGACCGACCGAGAATGAGTGAGAGAGAGAAAAAAAAGTCGTCGCTCATTTTATTTGCCATTTTTTTCTTCGCTTTGTGCTTTTACAGTAGTTTCATGAAAAACAATTTTCGAAGTATCCAGAACGAATCGAATATGATCACACTACAAAAAATGTTTCACACATTTTTCGTTGGCTCCTTCGAATATAATTTGATTGAGTGAGGTGCGCGATGATGATTGCTGAAAATAGCAGGGCGTACGTCTTTTTCTTCTTGATATATATTTTTCGTTTCGTTTCTATTTCCTTTGCCTTCTTTTTCCTCATTGCATTTCATTTCGACAGCCGATTTTGTGCAAAAGCAAGCGACAGCAAGAAAAACGAGGAAAAAAAATTTCTAACGTAGTTATATGTCTGTGCCACATTCATTTTTTTCTCTGTCCAATGGTAAGACCGAACAAAAAAAAAATTTCTCTCGTTCGAACAAAAAAAAAAAAAATTATCGGGAAAAAATACACGCACACACTTTGTGTTATGAACTATTTGAATGAACATACCTTATTAATTCTTTTTAAAGCCATATTTTACCAATTTCTTTATGTGTTTTTTTTTGTGTTCGGGATTTATATTATTTCTTAAATTTTTTTTTTGCTTAAATAATTAATCTGGTTGCTGCACCAGACAATAACTTGAACTGAAATGGTCTTTTGATTAGAACGAACAGCAGCGATGCAAGATGGCGGCCTTCCTCTGCTAACTTTGAAAGTAGTGGTTGTGTATGAGGAGAAGAAAAAAAAAATTATGTTATAAAACGAAAATGGCGACAGCTATGTGTATGCAATGAAGTCACAACTGAACGGAAAATGCGGACCGTACGACCGACGTTTTGAGTAACGCGTTTTTTTTAATATCACGTTTTCCCTGCAATTTTTGCAAAAACAAACACAATTTCTCAAAAAACGACGCTTTTTCGGCCTTACACTCGTTACAAAATTGCGAAAACTTTTATTTGCAATTGGCTTTACCGAATTTTATTCCGACCACAAGTTTATTCGAAATCACACATAAATAGCGAATTGGGTTAACGTACACTTCACTCCACTACGTTCAATTTCGACGCCAGACTGTCAACTTTGCGTCAACCACTAGCGAACTCTATCGTATCCACTGACACTAATTGAACCGGTTCGATGGCAATAAGCAACAACTGAACCGATTCATCGGATCACTTGTACGGCTCACTTGAACATTGATGGCGATTCAATCATATTTTAAATGTAAATTAAATTATTTTCTTCTTACAAAGGAAACGAGTGTGATTTGATTTTTTTTTGCTTTTGAATCGTATTTCAGAATGAGATAAAAATTCGTCAGTTGTTGGCATTTTCAGGTAGTTTCAATGTTATGATGTGAAATAACGACCTGCTCCATATAAAGTGGTGTCCGTTGTTATTTCAGTCGTAGATAACACAAAAATTTAATCAAATGAAAAAATGATTAAATTATTAAAATCTGTAAAGGCAACTATAAAGCAGAGAAAAACACTTTTTAATGATATGTATTTATGATAAACATTTTGTTAGTAAATTGATAGGACGCTATTTTTAAGTATTATGTGCTGCTTTTTTCTGTTTATCATTGAGGCTTTTGTATGATCGTGGTCGCTTTTGCTGCTGCTTTCAGATTGGTACAATGACACAATACATATTACATACAGTGATATTGGCATACTGATTCCTTATATTAAAATACGAACTTTCAGGTAGCTTCAATGTTCTGCTAGTTTGGTGTCTGTCTGTATTTCTATCTCTTGTACTTGAAGTGGAATTAAGGAACAATAAATGTTGCGATAGCTAGATGTATGGCTGAAACTAAATAAAATATCCCAAACAATATAAACAGTTTTATTTTGGTTTCAATTCGATTTATTTGCTTGTCAAGTAGAGTAATTATAATATTTTGAAAATGTAAAGAAATTCATACATTATTTTCAGATAACGAATAGAGTCAATTATTTTTTTAATTCTGTTTTCTTTTTTAGTTTTCCATCATTATACTACTATTTCAAAAAAAAGTTAATTAAATTTTTTCTCAATTATTTAAAACCAAAATCTTTGAGTACTATTACATGTTTGCTTGCATTATTCGCATTCCTCAAAATCTGGATTTATTCTAGATGTAAAATAATAAAAACGATTAAAAGTAGTCAACTGAAGATACTTTAGATATCTCGAGAGTACTCCATCCATTTGATCCAAAATAAAATCTTCGTATTTTCGTTCAATTTCTTTAATTTTTCACGTACTGCTCTCTCTCTCTCTTCCAATATCTCTTCCTCTTCCCGATCCCATGTATAGTATCGAAATGGTCAACTTGAATTCGAAAAGCGAATTTCAAGTTCTTCTACTGTTGGATGTGCTAAAACAAAATCTAACCACATCTCAATTTGTTGGGTATGGCATTCCACTTTCATATTTTTAAGACAGCGAAAAGAAAAAACTTCAATTGGTTTGACTACGCATTTACTATTTTCGTTATATCTGCTTAACACTTCGAATGTTTCAATATTATTGAACAGAATGGGTGTATCATTCAAGCATTTTGCTTGTTCAGTTAAGAAGCATACAGAAATACTGTTCACATTCTTGAGTTGTTCATCGATCACTTCCCAAATGCCTGGATTATGATACCCATATAAATCAATGCTCCGAATCTGTGGATTCAAACTGGCGATCGTTTTCACGTCATCACTGTGAATAAAATATGGCACGTGTTGTGAATGGTTACGCAACTTGAAGGTATCTAAGTTTGAATATGTTTGGAAAATATACTCGAAATCCAAAATAATATTGTCGTCCAATATTAGTTTACGTAAACGTGGAAAAAGGCGATTGAAATGCTCGCAACCAGGCCCAACATACCCTCTTCGAGTGAGAATGTTTCAACGTTTTCGAATGGATATTCTACTGCACCAAATGTACTCGTATTTTCTCCAAAAATACACAAATGTTTCAGCGTTCTGTGACAATACTCGTTAACATGAATGAAGAAGTTTTCGCGAAGTGACGAACTTTGATTAATCTTTAATTTTATTAGGGGGATGCTTTCACCAAAACATCGAATGACTTGAACCGCTAGCAGAGGGCAGCGAATGCAAATTGCGTTATCGTAAATACTTATATCACCTAAATGTGCACTTACAGATCTACTGCCAGTACAAACGACTATCAACCTCATCTTGAGTTTCCGAACGAACACCATCGCAGCTGCAACAATGAGATACTTATTCGCTTCGGCTACACTGATCAAATCACGAAAATTCAAATGCTCGAATACACGTTCGAATAGCAATCATTATCAACATCGGTAATTTTTGTAACGGAAATTGCAGCAATCTCTTCCACTTCATCTCGATTTCGTTTTTCGTTCGAACCTTCTTCAAGCGGTTGTTCCCTTTTTGTGTTCATTATTGTCGAAAATCTCGTCCAGATAGAAAGTAAAAGCACAGAACACACGTTCACTAATCGTGTATTGTTTGAATAATTCCTCAGAAACAAACTACATGCAGTCGGTTATAAAATGTCTGACCACTATGAACTATTGAGCATGCATCCACTGAATCGAATGACCTGTCAAAGTCACTCCTAATGAACCTAGTCAACAATCGTTGATTTTTTTTAAGTACTGAAAGTACAATTTTTGATGACAAATGAAAATGGGAATTTATGAATTGAAGGAATAATATGCATGCTTTTGCATGGTCATCAATAGAAACCAATCTCAAGATATAATATGTCTAATACTTCAGCAATCTACTTGAAAAAATGAACAAAGAATATCGTTGGGATGTAATTCAAATTGCCAAAACTTGTGATGAGTACGAAATTCGTATCATGTCATTTTTGTCAGATTGATGGGTATAATTATGAAATAGAAAATAGGAATGAGAAGAAACAAAATGTGAAACTATTCGATTACAGTTCGAATATTTGCAACTCAACGAAAAAACTTTTCGACTCTTATCAAGGAATAACAATTCTTTTATTTCAAACAAAAAACGGTGACAGAAACGTGTTCAAACACGTCACACTCGAACGGAAATTTGAAAAAAACTACTCTAAAAACAATGTTCATTCTGCAAACAACTACTGCAATTTAAATCCTCACGGTGGCTAAATCTTTATTGAATATTATTTTCATCGAAAATTGTATAAACAGTGAGCTGAAGCAACGTTCATTTCACCAAAAGGTTCAGTTTAACGCCAGACTTTTAGTTTCAAACGCCACTAGCGAACTCTGTTGACTTCATGAATCATATTAGAATCGGTTGACACAATGGTTGAACTGATTTCACATCACCTGTGTCGGCAACGAATGCGATCAAATGATATTCCAAATGTAATTTAAAGAAAATGTTTGAAATAAAATAGCATCTATTTGGTTTTTATTATATTTCCATGAATCAGTCAAAATTGACAAGCGGTTTCGACGTGTGAATTAGCCATTGCCAAATTATTGCCATTGTATTTGACAGTTTGAGTCGATCAGACAATACGAAAAATGATCAAATTTACAAGAAAAAACACACAAATCATGATATTCAAATATATGAGTGTGCCGAACTTATCAATGTGTTGGTGTAAGTCATTAGCATCCCCGGAGCGAATTATTGTTTTTGCCTTGGTCTCAAAACTCAATGGCGGTAAATTTGAATATAAACTGAATGACTTATGATTGGTACGATTTGAATATTCATTTTCTCCATTTATTTTACAAAGCAATTCGCAAATATTTGTTCAAATGGTCATGAATGTCCAACATGTTTGGTGTATTTTATATAATTCCTTATCAGTATCAATGCCAAATTCTTTCCGTGCGGAATAGATTCATATTCGTTGAAAACACAACAATCTATAGACTGGATCGTGGTTTTAATCGGACTTCCACATCTTAAAAACTTGAAACAACACACACACACACACATTCTTCACATGCAATTAGAGTTGGAAAAACAGCAAACCATGTCTGCAGATATACTTATTAAACTGGAACATTTGAATATATCGTCGCCCATGAAGTTTAAATATAAGTTCATGGCATTAACTAAATCCTAAATAATGAGAAAATGAATTAAGAAACTTTTCAGAGAAAATCATTATTGCATGCATCTATTCACAGATTAACGATTGGTCCTTGCTTTTGTCAATTTACCTGCTGAAAGTGTCGAGTTATCCTTATCATATCGTCTGTACGTACATAGCATCGGGTAACCAAGCATATGGTAAGGATTTAAATATTATACAGTTAGTTTTCTGAAATGCCGTTTATAAGTGCTCTTTGTCCCTTTGTTATTCAGTGAGTTTTCATCCTTCGCAACATAACAACGAACAAAATAATCAACGAGAAAATGGTTAAGAACGCCGAAAAGTTATCTCCTGCAACTAAGGTTCAGAGTAAAAAACGAAATATTCTAAACATTTCAAATGGTAATAGTGGTACGTATTTATGACAAGATTGTGTGTAAAAACTAATAGAAACGCCATGGAATTATTTCGTGCTGTTGCTTGTTTTTCATTCATCATTTTGGTTTTAAAAAACTTGAGATTGGGTGTGATATTTTTATTTTTATTTATTTCCAATGATTGTTTTTTTTTCTTTTCAAAGGTAGAGTAGTAAAGAAGGAACCAACGACACCAAAAATAAATGTGTATCTATGTAATGCACAGTCAGTTTCTTCACCACAACCCATAAAAAATGAGCCAAAGGATTCGATACCTTCTTATTCACTGCCCAGCAAAAAGTTGACTCAATTTCAAGAAGCATTCCAACAATTCATCCTAGCAATGGAAGGGAAACGAGAACAATAGAAATGTGTTGTGGTCATAAAACCAAATCATACGGGGATATGAAAAAGTAAATGAGTTTGAGCGCAATGAAAAACATCAATATTAAATCATAGAACGTTAATTTAGTCAGGCAGATGCTTGTTCATAGCAGAAAGTTCGAATTTACAATAATACATCCAGTTTTTTTTTATTAGAAATTCTTACAAATGAACCGTTGAAAAAATAATTATGATAAGACGTAGACCAGATTATAGCTCCGATCGACTATTTTTGGACCATTTTAGACGAAAGTATTCTACACAGAATTTCAAATCAAAAATGTTTAAA